CTAGTTCCGACTTCTCACCCTCCTCTCACCCCCTCACTCTCCAGCGGCCTCCCCAGCTTCTGTCCTCTCCTCCCCTTTACAGCCACTTGTTTGCTCAGTACTTGCTGTCACTTCTTTACCAGCATCTCCGGCCCCTCCTCAGTGTCCTATTCCTCCTGTTCCACCTCACTGTCCTTTTCCTCTTGCCCCTCGAATGCGTTTCTGAAGGTCCTGGCTTCACCGTCTCATCTGGGATGATCTTACACACTTCTTGGTCCTGATTAGAACCCATAACTGACTGAAAAACCCACCTACTGTGTCTCACCCTTTAGCTCCAGACCCACATCCAAATGACCACTGGGGACGATTCTTGGACGTCTCATGCTGAACATATCCACATTCACACACAGGTTCTTCCCCCTGAAAGCTACTTTTCTTACCCCTCCCCACTCCTACTTGGTCAGCCACTGACCCCAGCCACTAACAAGGAGGTGCACCCTGGACTGCATCCTCCCTTGTCCTCCATCAGCCCTGAGATCCATGGAGTGTGCCTGAGACGTCTAATCAGATTTTTCTTCTCCTGCTGCTAAACCACCAGCCCTCAGCTCTCCCAACATAGGAAGTGGCATTTGTTTCCTCCTACTTGGGGACAACCAAAGAATGAGGTCTGTCCTGAGCATCTTGTCTAGGAGTGCAGGCAGAGACTCGGTCAGGTACACCTGGACTCAAATCTCTATTCTGGGCCGGGCGCGGTGGCTCAAGCCTGTAATCCCAGCACTTTGGGAGGCCGAGACGGGCGGATCACGAGGTCAGGAGATCGAGACCATCCTGGCTAACACAGTGAAACCCCTCTATTCTGCTTCCTGCCCAGTGTGACTTAAAAAATGATTTTTTTTTTTTTTTTTTTTTTTTGAGATGGAGTCTTGCTCTGTCGCCCAGGCTGGAGTGCAGTGGCACTATCTCGGATCACTGCAAGCTCTGCCTCCCAGGTTCAAGCCATTCTCCTGCCTCAGCCTCCCAAGTAGCTGGGACTACAGGCGCCCTCCAACACACCCCACTAATTTATTTTTGTATTTTTAGTAGAGAAGGGGTTTCACCGTGTTAGCCAGGATGGTTTTGATCTCCTGACCTCGTGATCTGCCTGCCTTAGCCTCCCAAAGTACTGGAATTACAGGCGTGAGCCGCCGCGCCCAGCCAACAAAATGAAACTTTAAAATCTATAGTATGTGCCTTTCTTTTTTCTTTTCTTTTCTTTCTTTCTCTCTCTCTTTCTTTCTTGTCGGAGTCCCACTCTGTCGCCAGGCTGGAGTGCAATGGCACGATCTCGGCTTACTGTAACCTCTGCCTCCGGGGTTAAAGAGATTCTCTTGGGTGAGCCTCCAGAGTAGCTGGGACTACAGGCGTGCACCACCACACCCAGCTAATTTTTGTATTTTTAGTAGAGGCGAGGTTTCTCCATATTGGCCAGGCTGGTCTTGAACTCCAGACCTCAGGTGATCCACCCGCCTTGGCCTCCCAAAGAGCTGGGATTACAGGCGTGAGCCACCATGCCTGGCCAGTATGTGCCTTTTTTCTTTTTTTTCTTTCTTTCTTTTTTTTTTTTAAGACAGAGTCTTGCTCTCTCGCCCAGGCTGGAGTGCAGTGGCACGATCTCCGCTAACTACAAGCTCCGCCTCCTGGGTTCACACCATTCTCTTGCCTCAGCCTCCCAAGTAGCTGGGACTACAGGCGCCTGCCACCACGCCTGGCTAATTTTTTGTATTTTCAGTAGAGACAGGGGTTTCACTGTGTTAGCCAGGATGGTCTCGATCTCCTGACCTCGTGATCCACCCGCCTTGGCCTCCCAAAGTGCTGGGATTACAGGCATGAGCCACGGCGCCCGGCCCATGCCTTTTTTCATACAGGACAAGCACCCCCTTGAGGGTCGAGCAGATCCCTAATCACCCTCCCATCATGTCATTCTAATAACATGCTTCACACTTTATACCTTTATTTGTATTTTTAAAAACTGTAGGCCGGCACAGTGGCTCACGGCTCCCAGCACTTTGAGAGGCTGAGGCAGGTGGATCACCTGAGGTCAGGAATTCGAGACCAGCCTGGCAAACATGGCCAAACCCTGTCTCTACTAAAAATACAAAAAATTAGCCTGGTGTGGTGGCGCATTCCTGTAATCCCAGCTACTCGGGAGGCTGAGGCAGGAGAATTGCTTGAACCCAGGAGGCGGAGGTTGTGGCGAGCCGAGATCGTGCCATTGCACTCCAGCCTGGACAACAGGAGCAAAACTCCGTCTCAAAAAAAAAAAAAAAAAAAAAAAAGGTATTGGGCTCCTCCTCTTTGTTCAGGCACTGCCAAGAGATTTTTTTTCTTTTTTTTTTTCAGACAGAGTTTCCCTCTTGTTGTCCAGGCTGGAGTGCAATGGTGCAATCTCAGCTCCCCGCAACCTCTGCCTCCTGGATTCAAGTGATTCTCCTGCCTCAGCCTCCCAGGTAGCTGGGATTACAGGCATGCGCCACCACGCCTGGCTAATTTTTTGTATTTTTAGTAGAGACGGGGTTTGGCCATGTTTGCCAGGCTGGTCTCGAATTCCTGACCTTAGGTGATCCACCCACCTTGGCCTCCCAAAGTGCTGGGATTACAGGCATGAGCCACTGCACCTGGCCAGAGATTTTTTTTTTTTTTTTTTTTTTTTATTTATTTTTTTGAGACGGATCTCGTCTGTCGCCCAGCTGAGTGCATGGCCATCCCCCCCCCCCCCCCCCCCCCCCCCCCCGCCCCCCCCCCCCCCCTAGTTTTTTTTTTTAGTAGGCGATTCCCGTGCCAGGATGTCCACCCTACCTTGCCCCCCTCCCCCAAAGTGCTGGGATTACAGGCATGAGCCACTGCACCTGGCCAGAGATTTTTTAAATGACAGTTGTCTCTGTCCTCAGGGGCTCCCAGTCTAATGGACACTTCTGCCACAGGGAGAAAATTTTGATTTAGGCCGGGTGCGATGGCTCACACCTGTAATCCCAGCACTTTGGGAGGCTCAGAAGGGCAGATCAGGAGGTCAGGAATTCAAGACCAGCCTGGCCAACATGGTGAAACCCTGTTTCTACTAAAAATACAAAAATTAGCTGGGCGTGGCGGCGGGCACCTGTAGTCCCAGCTACTTGGGAAGCTGAGGCAGAAGAATCGCTTGAACCTGGGAGGCAGAGGTTGCAGTGAGCCGAGATTGTGCCACTGCACTCCAGCCTGGGTGACAGAGCAAGACTCCATCTAAAAAAAAAAAAATGGATTTAACAGGCTGTGCTGCAGGAACATTCAATGCTGTGGAGCCCAGGGAAGGCTTCCACAGGGAAGGAGCCCATGAGCAGAGCCCTGAGTTCAGTCCCCGCCAGCAAGAGCAGGAGACAGTTGCATGGGGGTCTCCAGCCAGTGGGTACAGAATCTGTACAGGACTGAGGGGTGGCCACCAGCCATGTCCCCTGGTGCCTAGAGGAAGGGAGGATGGATCTAGGTCAAATGACCCTGGGATCAAGGAACCCCAAGGGATCAGGACTAGGAAGGCAAGGAACATGTGTCATTGCCCCTGTTCCGCCCACGGGTGCCAGGGCTTCTCTCCCCAGGATAGGGGTAAAGCAGTTTCCCAATGTGCCCAGCTAGGGGTGAGCGGAACTCCCAAAGGCCCATCTGGAAACCTAGTCCTCTAAAGATTTGAGGCCAGGCATGGTGGCTCACGCCTGTAATCCCAACACTTTGGGAGGCAGAGGAGGGAGGACCACAAGGTCAGGAGATTGAGACCATCATGGTCAACACAGTGAAACCCCATCTCTACTAAAAATACAAAAAAGTAGCCAGGCATGGTGGCACATGCCTGTAATCCCAGATACTTGGGAGGCTGAGGCAGGAGAATCACTTGAACTCAGGAGGTGGGGGTTGTAGTGAGCCAAGATTGTGCCGCTGCACTCTAGCCTGGGTGACAGAGTGAGACTCCATCTCAAAAAAAAAAAAAAAGGCCGGGCGCGGTGGCTCAAGCCTGTAATCCCAGCACTTTGGGAGGCCGAGACGGGTGGATCACGAGGTCAGGAGATCGAGACCATCCTGGCTAACACGGTGAAACCCCGTCTCTACTAAAAAAATACAAAAAAATAGCCGGGCGAGGTGGTGGGCGCCTGTAGTCCCAGCTACTCGGGAGGCTGAGGCAGGAGAATGGCGTGAACCCGGGAGGCGGAGCTTGCAGTGAGCTGAGATCCGGCCACTGCACTCCAGCCTGGGCGACAGAGCGAGACTCCGTCTCAAAAAAAAAAAAAAAAAAGAAACCTTTTGCAGTGTGTCAGGTCTGATGGTAGAGGTGGTCATCCAAGCATGCCTGGGGTCAGGCTCCTTGGAAGTTCAGCTCCAACCCCTCATTCTAGCCGGGATGGTTGGCATACTAGACACTTCTCAGTCCCTCCTGCAGGTTCAGGGCACACCTCTCTGTAAGAGAACAAACTGGTATGGTTGGTAGGCATCATTTGCAGGCTTTGTATCCCAAGTCCACCCATCCATCTCACATAATACCACTCCAGCTGAGTCCAGATATGACTGATGCCCTGGGGTAAAGGCTGCCTCCTGGAAGGCCTGCCTTACCCCCACCTCCCCAACTGCTACCCAGAAGAACATTCTCTCCAGAGACTGGGTCCAAGCCAGGCCCAGAATGATCTTCCATGCAAAGGAGTGGGCCTGTATTTCCCCTAAGACCCTGATCAGGCCTGGAGTCCCAGTCTTACCCCAGGGACCCAATGTGGAAAGACCTTCAAACAAGAGCTTTTCAGAAGCTGGGGGGGTCTTCTCCTGCACCTGTCCAGCCATGACCAGGATGGAGAGTTTAGGGATGATCCTCCAGCTCTGCACCCACCTGATCCTCTGATGGAGGGTCCAGTCCAGCTTCATATCTGTGCCTAACCAGTGGAAACACTTACCCTCTGGGCACCTCAACTTTCTCAACTGAAAAGTGGAGTGAGGCAGCAAGCTCCCTTTCCCCTTCCCAGGGTAGCAGGCCGGACCTGACCGATGCCCTTTCATCATTGCACTGCTTCCCAGTGGCCCACAGTAGTGCAACAGGGAAAGAGTGTCGGGCAGGCCTGCCAGTGCCTCCCACAGGGTGGTCTGTAGGGATCTGAGACCTGGAATGCAGGCTGGCTGGGACGGGGCCTCTGCCTGGGGGAAGGGTGCCCTCTGACCCCAGAGGCCCAGGCCTGGCTAGAATCTCAAGTTTCCATGGAGAAGGGAGCGAACTGGGCAGGGGGGAGGGGAGGGCCTGCAAGCCCAAGAGGCCCTGCCTGGGGAGTGGGAGGTGAGGGTTGTAGGGAGGGAGATCCCCAAGGCTGGTCCCAGATGCTTTGACAATATCATTGCACTGCTTCTCAGAGCACAGTAGTGCAACCTCGTCAGAGCACCTGCGGTCAGCAGGGGGGACCCCACCACCCCCAGTACATGCAGGGCGGGAAGCTCAACCATGGATAGGTGGGTGGGGCCAGAGCCCCTGTCCAGTCCATCTGGGCAGGGAAGGAGGCCGCAGCGCGGTGCGTCCTTGGGGTCTTCAGAACCCAGGACACCCAGGCCTTTCCCAGAACGCTCCGGATTCAGGTGGAGAAGAAACCCCAGACTAGGGGGTAGTTCCAGTCCCGGAGCAGGAGCTGATGGGCCACGCAGGGGAGGGGGCGCACACACAAAGACGGACCCGCGTTCAGCCGCAGTCCAAAGCCAGCTAGCGCCTGGAGCGGGGTGGGTACAGCCCGACGACCCTGCGCCCTGACTCAGCCCGCGGCTCCAGCAGAAGAAGGGCGGCCCCACCCCGGGACGACGCGCCCTTTCTAGCTGACGACCCCATCCCTTCCCTGGCCCCTTACCCTGCACTACATAGGCTCCGGGTTCTGTTCTAACATATTCTTCTGCCTGGAGGCCCAGAGCGGAGCAGAGGATGGGGGTCCCCACCCTTCTAGAGTTCCCTGTTCCAAAGAGGGCGCCCGGGATCCTGGCCGCGCCCCTCCGCCTGACCCGCCGGGTAGGGCCGCCCAGCCCAACCCAGGATCCCCTCCTCAGACCCAGCTACTCACGCAGACATCCCTTCCGCCCAGGGCCGGGTCAGGATGCGGAGGGTTAGATGGAGGAGGATCCCGGCCATCGTCTGCCCCCGGGTCCCCAACCAGACGACCCTGTACCTCGTGGCGGCCCCTCGCCTGCCGGCTCCATCTTTAACCCGCTGACAGTCGGAGGGGCCGGGCCCCCGACTCCTTAGCATAGCGCCGCGCTCATTGGCCGGCGCTGGCGCGGGGATTCGCCTCCTGCACGCCTATTGGCTGAGACGGGAGCGATTTCAAAATACCCTCCGGGCTCCCATTGGCCCGGCGCCGGCCGAGTCTCGGGCTCCGTGGTTTTAACAATAAGTTTTACACTTTTTCCCCATTCATAACTTATCAAAAGGAACTTTGCCCGCCTTTTCTCAGCTCCAATCTCTGCAAGTTTTCTAGCGACACCGACAAGAGCGCTTGGAAGCCCGGTGAGGGACGCCAGGCGCGAGCCCGCCGTGGGGGAGGCCGAGACCCTCTGGAAATTCCCGAACCCCCAGCCAAGCCTGCCGTGAACGCGGCCGCGGGCTTTGTTGTGCGTGCTGAGGTTGCTCTCTGGGATATTCGGACGTGGTGGGCTTCCGAACTGGGGTAGCCCCCCTCCCAACTCAGCCACCCGGGATCGCCCGGCAGGACGCGAGTGGGGCTTTCCTGAAAACCCCCGGGTATGACTGGGCTATGGAGACCCGGTCCTGGGCCCGTGGTCTTTTGGATCTGTGGGAAATACGGGGAACGGAGTGTAAGCTTTGCTTTCTTCGTGATTGTGATCCACTTTGCGGATAAGCATTCATTAAGCGCCTACCCTCCGCTGATGACTAGGAAGTATATTGGTCACCGGGCTCTTGAACGGCTCCTAGGGGGAAGGGGGAAACTGTGCTTAGACAACTGTGCCCCTGTAACCCCTCCTGCTTTATTATCAGTCCAATGGCTGAGAGCAAATGTTTTTGAGGCAGGCAGAGGTGGTTTTGAATCTTTATGAACCCCTGTTGCCTTCTTGCAAAACCCAGATGGCAATCAAACCTGCTCCATAGGGCTGGCTGTTGCCAGAAGCAAATGAGATGCTGTGTAAATTGTTGGCCCAGCACCTGGCATTTAGTAAGTTTTCACTAAAAGTGAGTTCTGCTGCCACTGCAGTTTTTATTTTTGGTCTCGTCCTGCATTCTGCCTGGAACAATCTTATCTGCTCCCACAGCTTGGGCTTTGGTTGCCCAGGGATTCCCACTTGTGCACTGTTGGGTTCGTCTTAGTCAATGCTCCTCACCTCACTGCTTACCCATGTGTGGTGGTGGGGGTGGGGGAATAGACAGAGAGGGAGGAGTGGGCTTTGACAGCCCACAGGAGCTGGGGCTGGACCACAGGAGTGCCCCCTTGAATTTGCAGGGTGATATGTTTTGGCTCTGTGTCCCCAGCCTAATCTCATCTAGAATTGTAATCCCCAAGTGTCAAGAGAGGGAGCTGATGGGAGGTGATTGTATCATGGGGGCACTTTCCCCCATGCTGTTCTCATGCTGATAGTGAAGGAGTTCTCACAAGATCTGATGGTTTTAAAAGTGGCAGTTTCCCAGCCTGGCCAACATGGTGAAACCCTGTCTCTACTAGAAATACAAAAATTAGCCAGGTGTGGTGGTGTACGCCTGTAGTCCCAGCTACTCAGGAGACTGAGGCAGGAGAATCGCTTGAACCTGGGAGGCAGAGGTTGCAGTGAGCTGGTATCACACCACTGCACTCCAGCCTGGGCGACAAAACAAGACTCCATCTCAAAAATAAAGAAAAGTGGCAGTTTCCCCTGAGCACTCTCTCTCTCTCCTGTCACTGTGTAAGACATGACTTGCTTGCCCTTTGCCTTCCGCCATGACTGTAAGTTTCCTGAGGCCTCTCCAGCCATGCAGAACTGTAAGTCAATTAAATCTCTTATTTATAAGTTACCCAGTCTCAAGTAGTATCTTTTTTTTTTTTTTTTTTTTTTTTTTAAACTGAGACAGTTTTGCTCTCGTCACTGAGGCTGGAGTGCAATGGCACAACCTTGGCTCACTGCAACCTCTGCCTCCCAGGTTCAAGCAATTCTCCTGCCTCAGCCTCCTAAGCAGCTGGGATTACAGGTGCCCACCACTACTCCCAGCTAATTTTTGTTTTTCTTTTGAGACAGAGCTTTGCTCCTGTCACCCAGGCTGGAATGCAATGGTGTGATCTTGGCTCACTGCGACTTCCGCCTCCCAGGTTCAAGTGATTCTCCTGCCTCAGCCTCCGGGGCAGCTGGGATTACAGGTGCTCGCCACCACGCCCAGCTAACTTTTTGTATTTTTAGTAGAGACGGGGTTTCACCATGTTAGGCAGGCTGGTCTCAAATGCCTGACCTCAGATGATCCACCCGCCTCGGCCTCCCAAAGTGGTGGGATTACAGGTGTGAGCCACCGTACCCGGCCACTCCCAGCGAATTTTTGTATTTTTAGTAGACAAGGTTTCACCATGTTGGCCAGGCTGGTCTCGAACTCCTACCCTCAGGTTATCCGCCTGCCTCAGCCTCCCAAAGGCATGAGCCACTGTGCCCGGCCTCAGGTAGTATCTTTATAACAGTGTGAGAACGGATGAATACATAGGATGTAGTCCATCCTGTTGGTGCCCTACCCACATCCCCTTGGCACTCACCTCTACAGAAAGGATCCTCATGGCCACTACCTGAGGCTCACCCTGGGGGCCGTATTCTGGCTTCAGGAGTCCCTTAGCCAATGTACAAGGCCAGTGCAAAGTGCTACAGTGGCTCCCGCCATGCACTCAGCAGACCCAGCCTGTGAGGGAAACTACTTTGGGAGGTGAGTACCTCACTTCCTTGCCCCTTGGGTGGAATAGCTTTTATTTATTTATTTATTTATTTATTTATTTATTTATTGAGATAGACTCTCACTCTGTCACCCAGGCTGGAGTGCCTCAGCCACCCAAGTAGCTGGGATTACAGGCATGCACCACCATGCCCAATTAATTTTTATATATATATATATATTTTTTTTTTCAGTAGAGCTGGGGTTTCGCCTTGTTGACCAGACTGATCTCGAACTCCTAGCTTCAAGTGATCCACCCACCTTGGTCTCCCAATGTGCTGGGATTACACGTGAGAGCCACTGCACCCGGCTGGGTAGGATAACTTTGATGCACATTCTGCACTCGGTCCCAGAGATCCCCAATGGGATTGAGCTCCAGTTGCCCACGGGGGTAATTTGCTCAATAATGTACCTTTCACTGGCTTCTTTCCCGTCCCCTCTCACAGCCCCATTCCTCTATGCCAGCAATACTTCCATTCAAATCCTCTCAGGTCAGATGAGTGATGGGAGAGGTGGATAGACTTGTAGATGATCCTCAAGAAGTTTAACGATGAAGACGGGTGCAGTGGCTCACGGTCATAATTCCAGCACTTTCAGAAGCCAAGGCGGGGGCCAGGCGCAGTGGCTCATGCCTGCAATCCCAGCACTTTGGGAGGCTGAGGCAGGCACATCACCTGAGGTCGGGAGTTCGAGACCAGCCTGGTCAACATGGCGAAAGCCCGTCTCTACTAAAAATATAAAAATCAGCCAGGTGTAGTGGCACATGCCTGTAATTCCAGCTATTCGGGAGGCTAGGCAGGAGAATTACTGGAATCCGGGAGGCAGAGGTTGCATTAAGTCACTGCACTGCCTGGGTGACAGAGTGAGACTCCATCTCAAAAAAAAAGAAAAAAAAAGGAAACCAAGGTGGGAGGATCACTTGAGCCCAGGAGTTTGAGACCAGCCTGGGCAACATAGCAAAACACTATCTCGACATAAAATTCAACTATTAGCCAGGTGTGGTATGGTATGCCTGTGGTCCCAGCTACTCGAGGCTGAGGTGGGACGACCCCTTAAGCCCAGGAGGTAGAGGTTGCAGTGAGCTGTGATTGAGCCACTATACTCCAGCCTGGGTGACAGACCAAGATCCTATCTCCCCAAAAAAATAAAAAAGAAAAAGCCAGGTGCTGTGGCTTACGCCTACAATTCCAACACTTTGGTAGGCTGAGATGAGAGAATTGCTTAAGCCCAGGAGTTCAAATTCATAATTGGCTAGAGCTTTTCTCCCGCCCCCTCACCCGACCCCAAGCCATTTTTTTTTTTTTTTTTGAGACGGAGTCTCGCTCTGTCGCCCAGGCTGGAGTGCAGTGGCCAGATCTCAGCTCACTGCAAGCTCCGCCTCCCAGGTTCACGCCATTCTCCTGCCTCAGCCTCCAGAGTAGCTGGGACTACAGGCACCCGCCACCTCACCCCGCTACTTTTTTTGTATTCTTTTAGTAGAGACGGGGTTTCACTGTGTTAGCCACGATGGTCTTGATCTCCTGACCTCGTGATCCGCCTGTCTCGGCCTCCCAAAGTACTGAGATTACAGGCTTGAGCCACCACGCCCGGCATTTTTTTTTTTTTTTTTTTTTTGAGATGGAATCTCGCTCTGTTGCCCAGACTGGAGTGTAGTGGCAGGATCTTGGCTTACTGCAAGCTCCGCCTCCCAGGTTCACTCCATTCTCCTGCCTCAGCCTCCCCAGTAGCTGGGACTACAGGTGCTCACCACCATGCCCAGCTAATTTTTTTTGTATTTTTAGTAGAGACAGGGTTTCACCATGTTAGCCAGGATGGTCTTGATCTCCTGACCTTGTGATCCGCCTGCCTCGGCCTCCCAAAGTGCTGAGATTACAGGCGTAAGCCACTGCGCCCGGCCTTTTTTTTTAAAGAGACAGAGTCTCTCTATTGCCCAGCTGGAATGCAGTAGCACCATCATAGCTCACCAACTCTTGGTCTCCAACTCTTGGGCTCAAGCAATCCTTCCACTTCAGCTTCCCAAAGCGCTGAGATTACAGGAGTGTGCCACCATGTCCAGCTGCTCCATCCTTTAATAAGGTCAACTGAGGCCAGGCGTGGTGGTGCACACCTGTAATCCCAGCACTTTGGCAGGCTGAGGTGAGCAGATCACTTGAGTCCAGGAGTTCGAGACCAGCGTGGGCAACATGGCAAAACCCTGTCTCTAGAAAAAAATACTACAATTAGCTGGGCGTGGTGGTGCATGCCTATAGTCCCAGCTACTCCGGAGGCTGAGGTGGGAAGATCATTTAAACCTGCGAGGTGGAGGTTGCAGTGAACCGAGATCGCACCACTTCACTCTAGCCTGGGCAACAGAGACATTGCCTCAAAAACAAAAACAAACCAAAAAAAACCATGAAAGGTCAATTGATTTATCCAATGCAGGGTGCTCTGTCCACACTACTCCGAGCCTCTTCCAGTCAGTTGCCACCCCTAGCCTCTCTCCTTGGGCTCTTTTGTTCTGCTTCAGGGAAGCGAACCATTATACTCAGTAGCTCCTGTGTCCTAAGCCAACCCACAGCTGCCCAGCTGAGTTACCAAGTCCAGGAAGCCTGTAATCTCTGCCGTAACCGCTAGAGGCCACCCACACACCAGCAAAGCTAACAGTGATCTTCCTTTATTAGGGCTCTCCTATTTAATCTGTTCCTGCCTTAAAGGTACCATACTCTGGCCTGCCCAAATTGTGCTTACTCTTCCAGGAAGTCTTCTCAGATCTCTGCAGGTAGCAGTTGTACGCGGCTGCCTTCCCTTGCAGTATCTTCTGTAGTTCTGTTATCTCACTGATACTTTCAAAGGTCATGGTGGGGGCCTGAGATGCCATGTGCCTAGGCAGGCTAGGGTGGGTGAGGTGCCATTTGCACCGAGTGAGGGAAACTGTGATGCTACTTTCCAGTGGATGGGCAGAATCCTCATCTGTCTCTTGGTCAAATACAGGTGTCAAGACTGCCACAACTGACAGGAGAGTGAGCTCTTCACATCTAGGGATGAGGGAGCTGGAAAGCTTGTGCCTCATCCCAGCTGACAGGGAGTGGGGCTGCCATCCATCCTGCTCTGAGGTCTGGCCTTGGCCCTTAACAGGAAGGTTCATAAAGCTAAGGGGCTGGGGAACAGGGAACTGGGGTCACTTGCCATCAGATCGCCTGAGGGTGGACAGGGGGATGCCCAGGGCAGCACTGGAGTACATGGAAGACCACTGAAAAGGTTTAGATTGCACAGTGACACTCGCCTGTAATCCCAGCCACTTGAGAGACTGAGTCAGGAGGCGGCTTGAACTATGCAGTTCGAGTCTGGCCAGGGCAAAATAGTAAGACCCTGTCTCAAAATAAAAGTAAGACAACTGTAATCCCAGCACTTTATGGGAGCAAAGGTGGAAGGATCATTTGAGCTCAGGAATTTGAGACCAGCCAGAGCAATACAATGAGACCTTGTCTCTACTAAAACAATTTTAAAAATTAGCCAGGGGGAGTGGACACAGTGGTTCAGGCCTATAATCCCAGCACTTTGGGAGGCCAAGGTGGGCGGATCACTTGAGGTTGGGAGTTCAAGACCAGCCTGGCCAACACGGTGAAACCCCGTCTCTACTAAAAATGCAAACGTTAGCTGGGCGTCGTGGCGCATGCCTGTAATCCCAGCTACTCAGGAGGCTAAGGCAGGAGAATCACTTGAACCTGGGAGGCAGAGTTTGCAGTAGCAGAGATCTGCCACTGCATTCCAGCCTGGCGACAGAGCAAGACGTTGTCTCAAAAAAATGAAATAAAAAAATTAGCCAGGCATGGTGGCACATGCCTGTAGTCCCAGCTACTTGGGAGGCTGAGGTAGGAAAATCACTTGAGCCCAGGATGCAGTGAGCTATGATCACTGCCACTGTACTCCAGCCTGGATGACAGAGCAAGACTCTGTCTCATCAGAAATAATAATTAGCTGGGCATGGTGGTGTGTGCCTGTAGTCCCAGCTACTCAGGAGGCTGAAGTGGAAAGATCACTTGAGCCCAGGAGTTTAAGTTTACAGCAAGCCATGATCATGCCACTGCACTCTAGACTGGGCAACAGAGTGAGACCATCTCTAAAAAAGCAAAACCCAGGCCGTGCGTGGTGGTTCATGTCTGTAATCCCAGCACTTTGGGAGGCTGAGGTGGGCATATCACCTGAGGTAGGAAGTTCGAGACCAGCCTGGCCAACATGGTGAAACCCCGTCTCTACTTAAAAAAAAAAAAATACAAAAATTAACCGGGTATGGTGGCAGATGCCTGTAATCCCAGCTACTCAGGAGGCTGAGGCAGGAGAATCACTTGAACCCGGGGGACGGAGGTTGCAGTGAGTTGAGATTGCACCATTGCGCTCCAGCCTGGGGGACAAGAGCGAGAGTTCGCCTCAAAAGAAAAAAAAAAGCAAACCCCCCCGAAAAACCAAGAATAATAATAATAATAAAGGGTTTGGACAGGTTCAGCAGTCACGCTGGGATGGAGACAGGTTTTACACTGAGGAAGAGATGATCAACTGGGCCTGGGCTGGCAGCTCCTGGTCATCCTCAGGTTCACAGTGAAACACAATCATAGACCAACATTCTTTAATCACAAAGGCACTTGAGGACCCCTACAAACCCAAAGTCTCTGCCAAGAGTGGCCCTGCAGACACCCCACCTTCTATCCACCCATTCATCCATCCCACACTCAGAGTTCATCGTGACCTGCAGAGGGCTCCACACTAGGCTTGATGAAGATGCCTTCCATGGCCTTCCATGTATTGTGCGTGTTGGCACTGGGCATGCCGTGGACCTCATGCTGCCCACGGATGGGGCTTCCATACTGCTCACCCGTGACTGACAGGAACACAGAGGTGCCCACGTGCTGGAAGCGCACAGCAGCCTCACGCTCCCAGTGCTGTCCAGAGCAGCGCACTGTCCATAGGTCCAGGTCGTCACCCTCGCCGTCTTCCCCAAAGGCACTCACCTCCTATAGGTGCAGAGGGTGAGGGGACAGTGGTCACCACAGAAGGCGGCATTCGTACCTACACTGAGCCTAGGATCCTTCCCTGCCCTTCCTGGAGACTCAGCTCCCACAGCTGCAAAAGGTGACACCATGACCCGCCCGCGCAACCTCTGGCACTCCCTCCCCAGCATGGGCTCTTCAGACACGTGCACACACCATTGCATCTGTCTGTGCAGAGACTACTGGTCCCCACAGAGCTAAGGCCTCCTCCTCCACATTCTCCCAGTCCTAATCCCTCTGACCTACCTTCAGCCCCTCAGGCTAGCAGTCAAGCTGTCTATCTATCTCAAACATTTTCTTCCACCAACTCTCCAAGGGCACCCACTGTTCCATCCCAATCCCCTGAATTCCACTGACCTCCATGCATTGGTGCAATCTCTTCTGCTGGCCTGGGAAGTCCTTCTTTTCCCTTTGTGGCTTGGAGGACTCCTAATCATCCTTTCAGACCCAGCCTGAGTTCCTCCTCCCCAGTGGAGTTTCCTATTCCCCACCCTCAAGGCTGTGTGGATTCTCCTCCTGGGTCCCACTTGCCCCCAGAGGAAGAGCTATCCAGGAGGATCTCTTCGGATCTCTCTCCCATCGGTCTCCCTGCCGGGCCGGGGGCACCTGGGGGCAGGATCTTGGCGGAGTTACTCTGTTTCCCCCGAAGGGGTGCTCAATAACCATCTCTGAAGTGAAATTTCCATTTCACGAAGAAGCTGAGGCTCGGATTGGAACCCAGGATCTCTGGCCCCTCACACAGGCCAGGAATCTCTCTGGGGGCTCCGGGAGGGGCTCACCTGGTTGTTGGACAGCGGTGACGGGAAGTGGTGCGTGTGTAGGTTCTTGCCTGTAAGCACATGCGTGAGCCGCACTGCCTGCCCGCAGCGCACCGGGGACCCACGCGGGCACCCGCCTTCCGAACCGCCGCGGATCCGCCAGTAGCTATTGGCGTCGTCCGACGCCTCCACGCCGGTCACCGATTGCTGGCCGCTGCCTGAGGAGTGACACCCCACTCACCCAGGGTCTCCGTCAATCGCAGAACCCCGGACCCTCGCCCTGGGACCATAACATTTCCCAGGGGACCCCAAGGGGCTCACCCCCAGCCCCGGCCCCCGCCTGACACCCTCCTCAGTCTTTGGGCCTGCAGTTCCCCGACAACCGTCCCCACCCTCAATATCCTCGACACCCTCAAAGCCTTGCGCCCCTCGACCCCCCAACGACTCTAGAGCCTCCGCCGCCCGGCTTCGAGATGGCCCACAGACCCCCACGACCACCCTGTCTCCACACTCCCAACCCCAAGCCCCCGATCCCCGCGCTCTCTCAGTCGCAGGTCACACGCACCGGATCCGTATTTGATGTCGTGCGAGTGCAGCCGCACCCGGTGGTGCGTATTGAGCAGCTTCAGCACCGACCCGCAGGTCACGAGCCCCGCGCCAGTCTTGGCGGCACTACCGCCCGGCACTAAGAGCGCCAGCAGCAGCCCCAACAGCACCGGCCCGGCAGACCCGCCGCGGCCCGCGCTCCACATCGCCCCGGCCCGGCTCCAGCCGCTCCGGCACTAGGGCTGCTTCCGTCCTCGCCGCGGCCCAATCCAGTTCTGACAGCGCCCGCTCGCGGCAGCCAATGGTCGGCCCGCGCGGCACTCCGCTTGCACTGCCATTGGGTCATTGAGGAGAGGGCCCGCCCCCGGCTCGCTAGAGCAGTAGCTGGGCGGGGACTGGAGACACGAGGAGGGTTTTGATTGGTACACGCTTCCGAGGACTTTCCAATGAGTGTCCAGGGAAGGGCGGCTGAGTAGCCAAGCGGCGGAGAATGAGCGGGAGCGCTTGGTGAGGACGCCGAGTCCGAGCCCCGCAGCCGCTGAGTGCCTGGATACCAGCTCAGGATCCTAGGACCCTGCAGGCACGTGTTCACGACGCCCCTTGATCCTGGACTCCTGGGCACTCAGTAATTAGTCTCTCCCCTCAGAACCTGGGACCACAACTGCAGGGTCTTGAGGCTGTTGGATCACTAGATTTTGTGGTCACAAAGTCGACAGATCCCAGAATCACTGAATCGTCTGGTCCTTCAGTCCCTGGACCCCGAGATTAATGAAACCCCCAGTCATTCGGCCCTAGCCGCCTCTCTGACACTGGGTCACCACAGTCCCTAGACCCTGGGGTTTCTGAATTCCCCTGGCCACTTATACATTTGACTCCTTTCGTGGCTAAATCTTGTGGTCACTGGGTCATCGGGCAGGAGAGGGCAGCAGGGAGCTGTGGCGTCGAGAATAATGGCAGCTTCCCACCAGAAAGCCCCAGAGCTGTCTTAGGAAACCAGAGTCCAAGGAGACCAAGGGGCTGTGGGAACCAAGCCTGGGTGACTGTGTCCCAGTCTCCTGGCCATGAGTAGGTCTCCCTTTTGCCGCCTTCTCAGAGTGTTGTCAGCTCAACCTTCAAAGGGAGGAAAACTTATACCACTGTTTATTCATTCATGGGACATTGTTGCAGCGGCTTCACTCCAGATCCTGTGGGGTCACAGAGGAAATAGCTCTGGGCTCAAGAGGCTAAGGTGTAGTTGAAGCACAGGCAAAGCAGAGACAAAAGTTCATATTTAATTAAATCGTCCAGAATTTTGCATTCAGAAAATCCAGAGTAAAGCGATTTTCATTACAGCAACATGTTATTTTGGGGGTTTCATGTTTCATATTGTTTTTATTTTGAGTTACATGTAGTATAAGTCACCTTGATCTTTTCAGCATTTAGGTGTCCAAACAGTTAAAGGTCAGTCTACCCTGGATTTGGTAGTCACTGCACTTGAGGGGTTTCCAGTCTAGGGTGGAAGATCTGAAGTACTATCTGAGAGGCAACGGATATATACTCTTGGACATGTCAGCCATCACCTCAAAATCAACACATGCAAAGCAGAATTCCTGGTCTCTGCCCTCAAACTGCCCCTCCCCCAGGCCTCTGAGTCTCAGTAAATGGCACCTCCATTCAGGCCCAAAACTTGGGATTCTTCTTTCATTCATCTCTTTACCTTGTTGCTCCTCACATCTCATTCAACAAGTCTTTTTTTTTTTCTTTTCTTTTGAGATGGAGTTTTGCTGTTGTTACCCAGGCTGGAGTGCAATGGCGTGATCTCGGCTCACTGCAACCTCCGCCTCACGGGTTCAAGAGATTCTCCTGCCTCAGCCTCCTGAGTATCTGGGATTACAGTCATGCATCACCATGCCCAGCTAATTCTTTTGTATTTTTAGTAGAGACAGAGTTTCACCATATTGACCAGGCTGGTCTCGAACTTCTGACCTCAGGTGATCCACCTGCCTCATCCTCCCAAAGTGCTGGGATTACAGGCGTGAGCCACCACCATCACTCCCAGCCTTTATTTATTTAGTTAGTTTTTTAACTTTTGAGTCTCCACATGTGCCTCATTTAACAACTCTTTTTTTTTCCTTTTTTTTTTTTTTTTTTTTTTGAGACAGAGTCTTGCTCTGTCGCTCAGGCTGGAGTGCAGTGGCGCAATCTCAGCTCACTGCTGCAACCTCTGCCTCCCGGGTTCAAGCGATTATCCTGCCTCAGTCCCCTGAATAGCTGGGATTACAGGCATGTACCCAGCTAATGGGATTAAGGCAGGTACCCAGTACCACCACACCCGGCTAACTTTTGTGTTTTTAGTAGAGACGGGTTTTCACCATGTTGGCCTGGCTGGTCTTGAACTCCTGACCTCAGGTTATCCACCCGCCTCGGCCTTCCAAAGTGTTAAGATTACAGGCATAGGCTGGGCCCGGTGGCTCACGCCTGCAATCCCAGCACTTTGGGAGGCCGAGGTGGGCAGATCACCTGAGGTCAGGAATTCAAGACCAGCCCAGCCAACATGGAGAAACCCTATCTCTACTAAATCAGAGCCATAAAGACGTGTTGAGTGGGCTGGGCATGGTGGCGCATGCCTGTAATCCCAGCTACTTGGGAGGCTGAGGTAGGAGAATCGCTTGAACCTAGGAGGTGGAGGTTGTGGTGAACCAAGATCATGCCATTGCACTCCAGCCTAGGCGACAAGAGCGAAACTCCGTCTCAGAAAAAAAAAAAAAAAAAAAGATTACAGGCGTGAGCCACCATGCCCAGCCCACTCAACGTGTCTTTATGGCTGTCATTCCAAATCACATTTCAAGGCATCTCTCCTGAGTCCCCATCACAGTTCTAACCCAAGCCCCTCCATCTCCCATTTAGATATTGACCACTGCCTCCTAACAGGTCTAGCTGCTTCCATTATGATGCTGGCCCCTCCAAAGCATTCTTTCTACACAGGAAAGTGGTAAAAGCAGCTGGGCACGGTGACTCCCCAGCACTTTGGGAAGATGAGGCAGGCAGATCACCTGAGGTCAGGACTTCAAGACCAGCCTGACCAACATGGCGAAACCCTGTCTCTGCTAAAAATGCAAAAATTAGCCAGGCGTGGTCTCATGTGCCTGTAATCCCAGCTGCTCAGAAGGTTGAGGTGGGAGAATCGCTTGAACCCAGGAGGCAGAGGTTGCAGTGAGCCAAGATCACACCATTGTCCTCCATCCTGGGCAATAAAGTAAGACTTCGTCTCAAAAGAAAGTGGTAAAAGCATAGATCAAAAGATCATGCCAGTTCCCTGCTAGAAGCTGCCAGCCATTTCCCAGTTGCATTTAGGACCACAGGAGGGTGAGGACACAGCAGGCGATCTTCCTGACAAGCAAGACAGGATTCTAAGTAGGCTGAGATACCAGACCTAGAGTGGGGAAGCCAATGTAGCACTCCCTTGACTCTCACGGGGAGCCTCATGGCCTCTCTTTGCTGTTCCCTTCTCCAGCCTCCTGCTGCAGACTGCCTTCCCCTGCTCACCCTATGGGCAGCTCCTCAGGGCTGATTATGGCCTCTCCAATGCCCTCCACCTACTAACCATAATTTGTCTTAAGGTTCAGGTTCTCAAGAGAGAATCTGATTGGCTCAACTTGGGCCCAAGGACTGCTAAAGGTACAATCAGCTGTGGAGAGGAGGAAGGGTGGTAACTAGTCTCCAAATACTTACAATTCCTCCCATCCCCGTAAGCCAAAGATACGTAGTTCATTTCCTCTTTCCTTGAATCTGGGTAGGTAGCGCAACTTGTTCTGACCAATCGAATGCCGAAGAAGTGCTGTTTGGGGACTTCTGAGCACCGGCCATAAGAACTCTGGCAGGTCTGGCTTCATCCTTCTAGGAAGCTAGACAATGCACCTTGCGATAATGAAGTGCCAGATTACTGCGTGGTAAAAAGCCACATAGAGAGGGACCCTGGAATGTTCCGGCCTCAGTTCAGTGAGCAGCTGAAAGCAGTCACATAAGCAACTCCAGTGTACACCACTGCCCCACTGAGCCTCCAAACTCCAGTGTTGGGCGGGGCACGGTGGCTCATGCCGGTAATCCCAGTGCTTTGGCAGGCCAAGGCGGGAGGATCACTTGAGCCCAGGAGTTGGAGACCAGCCTGGCCAATATAGTGAAACCCTGTCTCTACTAAAAATACAAAATTGGCCGGGCGCAGTGGCTCATGCCTGTAATCCCAGCACTTTGGGAGGCTGAGGCAGGTGGATTACAAGGTCAGGAGATCGAGACCATCCTGGCTAACACGGTGAAACCCCATCTCTACTAAAAATACAAAAAAATTAGCTGGGCACGGTGGCGGGCGCCTGTAGTCCCAGCCACTTGGGAGGCTGAGGCAGGAGAATGGCATGAACCCAGAAGGCGGAGCTTGCAGTGAGCAGAGATCGTGCCACTGCACTCCAGCCTGGGCGACAGAGCAAGACTCCGTCTCAAAAAGAAAAAAAAAAAAAATTTTAGCCCGGCATGGTGGCACACGCCTGTAGTCCCAGCTACTCAGGAGGCTGAGGCAGGAGAATCCCTTGAACCTGGGAGGCAGAGGTTGTGGTGAGCCAGGATCGCACCAAGGCACTCCAGCCTGGGCAACAGAGTGAGACTCTGTCTCAAAAAATAAAAATAAAAATAAAAATAAAAGCCGGGTGCGGTAGTTCATGCGTGTAATGCCAGCACTTTGGGAGGCTGAAGCAGGCAGACCAACTGAGATCAGGAGTTCAAGACCAGCCTGTCCAACATAGTGAAACCCCATCTCTACTAAAAATACATAAAAAATTAGTGGCCAGGCGTGGTGGCTCATGCCTGTAATCCCTGCACTTTGGGATGCAGAGGTTGGTGGATCACTTGAGGTCAGGAATTCGAGACCACCCTGGCCAACATGGTGAAATCCCGTCTCTACTAAAAATACAAAAATTAGCTGGGCATGGTGGCGGGCGTCTGTAGTCCCAGCAACTCAGGAGGCTGAGGGGACAGAATTGTTTAAAGCCAGGAAGTGGAGGTTGCCATGAACTAAGATCATGCCACTGCACTTCAGCCTGGAAGACACAGCAAGACTTTTTTTTTTTTTTTTTTTTTTTTTTTTAGACACAGTTTCACTCTGTTGCCCAGGCTGGAGTGCAGTGGTGCAATCTCGGCTCACTGCAACCTCTGCTTCCCCAGGTTAAAGCCATTCTCC